ACTGAAAAGGAGCAAGAAGAAATTCAGATTTATGAGAAACTATGAGAGATATATCAGTTTGCAAACATTCTGGGTTAAGTACCATTGAAAGTCCACACAAATTCAAAAGGTCACAATGTTGTTCATCGTTAAGAAATCGCAGGTACAGAAAATATCAGTAAAGAAATTAAAATAAAATTTGTAGTTACCACAAAAAGCCTCTCAGCACCAACATCCTTCATCATCCAAAGTTGACAAACTCTCAAGCTTTATCTTTACTTGTAAATTCATATCTGTCCGTGCAACTTTTTCTTCTCTGAAGCTTCATCTGCCCTCTGATGTCTTACCTCAGAGTTATTTCCTCTTTAGCAGAGATGATATGCTATTGCGTCTGCACCCTCCTTCATTTGCTTTCTTCATCTTGTCTGTCTTTATTTAGCTGTGCACTGCACTCTCTTCTTCCTGCCTACCCTCTGACCTGTCCTGACTGCTTGTCCCTCTCTTCGCTCCGCACTCCCTCTATCTATCCCTTGGTCGGCCACCCCATCAGCCCGAAATCACTGTTCTCCTGACCGTGAGCCAATAGGGAGCAACACAGCTGGGTGAGGCACTTCCTCTGTGACAGGAAACTAGCAAAGAACTCTCAGAGAGACACACACACATAGAGTTTGGTGGACTCTAAATGTGGTACAGAGTTCAAAATGACTACTCCTCTCTGAAAAAAAAAAAGATTTTGTGGCCATTAAGCAAAATTAAATGGATCTGAATTGTTCTAATTGTGTATTTTCTATGCTATAATGTCCTTTAAGCACAGTCTAAAAGACTCCCAGTGACCTAACCTGTGTGCTAGAATTATTCCTGACTACCTTTACTTTTGTTTATCAGGCCAACCTGCCATATGCACAACGTTTTAGTCATTTTGGATTAGAAAAGGATCTGTCAAATGAGGTGAGTTGCTGAAGGAATATTCCGGATTCAATTTAAGTTATGCTGAATCAGCAGCATTCATGCATGGCATAATGCTGATTACCACAAAAATATTTTTTACATTTATTTTCTTTAAAAAAAAAATCAAGATTATGAGATGCTTACAATGGAAGTGAATGGGGCCCATTTTTGGAGGATTTAAAAGCAGAAATGTGAAGATTGTAATTTTATATCTATTTTTATATTTATTATGTAATGTTATATATGTAATTTTATCCAAATTTTTCTGTTCAAATTTGAGCTGTATGCGGTTTAAATCATTTTTACAGTAATTTTAGAGTTCTAGAGTTTACAGCTTTACATTTCATGGTGACAGCTTTGTAAAATTGGATATAATTTTGCACAGAAATGGTTAGTAAGCTGCATGTTTTTCACACTATAAAATTGTTTTAATTGTTTATGTCTTGTGGCTATACTTTTGAAACTGTGAGTATTTTTACATTAC